AAAAGAAAGAAGAAGAAGAAAAAAAAAAATGGCAGGTGTGCAGTCGATCACTACAGCCTTAAGATGATCCTGTCTAAAATTTCCTGTTATATCAATACAAGTTCATTTTAACTTATTGAAGTACAGGAAGGTAGACATCATTCACAATCACTCGCCCCAGGCTTCATGAATGTGATCTCTTCGCTCGAAAATCCAATAGTTATATATTTCAACATTTAATCTCACTCGAAATGTGACATATTGTAAAATTTGATATTTATTGTTAAACTCCAAAATTGTTTTCATCTTCCACAAATGATATAGTTATGGTTTCCTTTCAATACTTTACTTTTTCATCTAGTAGGTTTAGATTGATTAAATCGCTTATCTCAAGAGAATCTTTTTTTAAAAAAATTTCTATTAAATTTAATTAATTTTTAGTAATTTTAATGATTATAATGTGCTAATATTCATTTATAATTATGTTTTAGCTATAATTTTAAGAGTTATTCTTTGTTTTACAACGTAAACAATTTTTACAGTAATTATTTAATTCTATTTTTATTTAATAAATATAAAATTAATTTAAAACAAACTATTACTAAAAATTTATTATATTTTATCTATTAAACTCACCAAGAGACTCTTTTGTACAACCTCTATAGATAAGAGAGTCGCGTACTAACCATATACATTACAGTATTAAAAATGTATTTTTATAATTTATTATCTTTTCAAGTATTTAAAATGTTTTCAGAAATGTCTTTAAATAAAATTTTTAAAAGAGTACACCATTAATATTGTAAAATATATAAAATCTAACAGAAAAGCAATGCGAAAAGCTCTCAGCTAGACAACATAAATTAAGTATTAAATATGGGTAAAAATATAAATATTTAATTTATAACTAAGCAAAAATCTAGCTACAATATTTTATAATTAGTTTAAGTAATTCTTATCACTTCAAATAAATAAATAAATTATTTATTTTTGAATGATAAATATTCCATTTTGGTCAATTTTTCCCAAGAAATAGAATTTTAAAAATGGTTTCGTCTTCAAAAACTATTTATAAATTCAAACAAAAACAATTTATGTTGAAAGTTATCATGATAAACATTTAATATTTCATACTGAGTTTAGTCGAGCGACTTATGGAAATATGCTACGATTATTTCATTTGCATTCGCTGCTTCTGCTATCTTCCTTGCAAAACACTTGATGCCAGCAGCTTGCTCTCGCTATATATATATATTTTTTATCATGACACTGCCTACTGCTTTGAAGGGCCTTCAAGACTTTTCAAACTGTGGGAAATGCCCTCTAGACAGAATGAACTACAACTTCCAGAATGCTGATATTGAGAAATGCAGGAAATGAAATGAGGAATCTACGTTCGAGCAAACTGAATCTAAAGCAGGGAATCATTTTAGATTCAATACAATAAAATATCTATCATAAACCTATAAATTTTGTTATATTTATGAATAAATAATCGATAATTAGGTTATCTTTTACGGTAAAATTGTGAGTATAACACGTTCTGTGTTACGAATATGTAAGCCATTAAATTATTATGTCAATAAATTTTTATATATTTTAAAAATTTACATATATAAAAAACGATGAAAAGGTATTTAAAAAAAACCATTGTTTACGCCATAAAACTTTTAATTTTGCAACTTCTAATGATCTACAAATGCATTCAAGTGTCTTAATATCGATAGCATTGTAATAAAAATTCACTTTTATAAACGTTATATATTAAAAATTCTAATTTTTTCTAGTTTAATATATTAATAAAATTTAATAATTGCTCCTTTAATTAAAATAAAGAAGATAACTTTCTTNAAGAAAAAAAAAAAAAAATGGCAGGTGTGCAGTCGATCACTACAGCCTTAAGATGATCCTGTCTAAAATTTCCTGTTATATCAATACAAGTTCATTTTAACTTATTGAAGTACAGGAAGGTAGACATCATTCACAATCACTCGCCCCAGGCTTCATGAATGTGGTCTCTTCGCTCGAAAATCCAATAGTTATATATTTCAACATTTAATCTCACTCGAAATGTGACATATTGTAAAATTTGATATTTATTGTTAAACTCCAAAATTGTTTTCATCTTCCACAAATGATATAGTTATGGTTTCCTTTCAATACTTTACTTTTTCATCTAGTAGGTTTAGATTGATTAAATCGCTTATCTCAAGAGAATATTTTTTTAAAAAAATTTCTATTAAATTTAATTAATTTTTAGTAATTTTAATGATTATAATGTGCTAATATTCATTTATAATTATGTTTTAGCTATAATTTTAAGAGTTATTCTTTGTTTTACAACGTAAACAATTTTTACAGTAATTATTTAATTCTATTTTTATTTAATAAATATAAAATTAATTTAAAACAAACTATTACTAAAAATTTATTATATTTTATCTATTAAACTCACCAAGAGACTCTTTTGTACAACCTCTATAGATAAGAGAGTCGCGTACTAACCATATACATTACAGTATTAAAAATGTATTTTTATAATTTATTATCTTTTCAAGTATTTAAAATGTTTTCAGAAATGTCTTTAAATAAAATTTTTAAAAGAGTACACCATTAATATTGTAAAATATATAAAATCTAACAGAAAAGCAATGCGAAAAGCTCTCAGCTAGACAACATAAATTAAGTATTAAATATGGGTAAAAATATAAATATTTAATTTATAACTAAGCAAAAATCTAGCTACAATATTTTATAATTAGTTTAAGTAATTCTTATCACTTCAAATAAATAAATAAATTATTTATTTTTGAATGATAAATATTCCATTTTGGTCAATTTTTCCCAAGAAATAGAATTTTAAAAATGGTTTCGTCTTCAAAAACTATTTATAAATTCAAACAAAAACAATTTATGTTGAAAGTTATCATGATAAACATTTAATATTTCATACTGAGTTTAGTCGAGCGACTTATGGAAATATGCTACGATTATTTCATTTGCATTCGCTGCTTCTGCTATCTTCCTTGCAAAACACTTGATGCCAGCAGCTTGCTCTCGCTATATATATATATTTTTTATCATGACACTGCCTACTGCTTTGAAGGGCCTTCAAGACTTTTCAAACTGTGGGAAATGCCCTCTAGACAGAATGAACTACAACTTCCAGAATGCTGATATTGAGAAATGCAGGAAATGAAATGAGGAATCTACGTTCGAGCAAACTGAATCTAAAGCAGGGAATCATTTTAGATTCAATACAATAAAATATCTATCATAAACCTATAAATTTTGTTATATTTATGAATAAATAATCGATAATTAGGTTATCTTTTACGGTAAAATTGTGAGTATAACACGTTCTGTGTTACGAATATGTAAGCCATTAAATTATTATGTCAATAAATTTTTATATATTTTAAAAATTTACATATATAAAAAACGATGAAAAGGTATTTAAAAAAAACCATTGTTTACGCCATAAAACTTTTAATTTTGCAACTTCTAATGATCTACAAATGCATTCAAGTGTCTTAATATCGATAGCATTGTAATAAAAATTCACTTTTATAAACGTTATATATTAAAAATTCTAATTTTTTCTAGTTTAATATATTAATAAAATTTAATAATTGCTCCTTTAATTAAAATAAAGAAGATAACTTTCTTCTCCATTTTCTTTTTTTTATAGTAATCAAGTGGATAAAAACTCCTAACGTTGATCGCGGGTTCGCGCCTCATCAAAAAGCTGGACACGTGGAGATTTCCGGGTTTTCTTCACGTGTATAACACCTAAACATGGGTCAGTTTCTAATACAAAGTCCTCAAGGAAGGTATTCCTCTTGGCAGATCGCCATATGCTGCCTTATCCCATCAATAGAATCCATCAGTTGTATCAAAGTATGGATACAATACCTTCAGCATGAATTAATAATTAACAAAATTACGGGTTATTATACTAAATTTTACTGTATTCTAAAAGCATTCAAGTGAATTAAAGCGATTTAATATATATATATATATATATTTCATTTTAAGAGAGAATAGTTTTGCCTTAGGCTAAATTTCGATATATTAAATTGAATACAGTACATGTTTCAAGAATTGGTTTTCCACTTTCTCTCTTCTATAATTAACGAAGAAATCCCTAAGTTAAATAGTGAAATTCTTGTTCTATTACATTGTTTAATACTTTTACTAAACCAAGAAATTTTTATCTAATTTACAAACAAGAATACATCACATAATTATAATTTTCTTGCTCTTCCGACTTCGTTCTTTTANAAGGGACTAAGAAAAATTCCCTTTAACAAAACTCAAGTAGATATAAAATTAATAAAGGGGTGTACAGAATGTACAGTGTTCAAACGTCTCCATATATAAGTAAAGTCACAGAATATTAGCTATGTGGGTTTCATTTAATCGAATGTACATGTAAATACTCCCCCATTCGTGGCAAATGCACGTTAACACCTCTGATACGTGTACTCGTATACGTGTGAACACGAGTCACAAGTGTGTACCTTCAGATGTCTGCTTCGTATAGAGACTTTAGAATCATTCTGTATTAAGATAAATAATGATCGTTTTTCAAGAAAACCGTCATTAAAATACCTATAACTTTATTTTTATTACTAATTAAATGTTGTATATATATTTTATACATCTGTAATACAAAGTCTTGAACCTCTGGGATACTGTAAGTGTACTATTACTCCATGTTAAGAGCCATTGATTTAAATAAAAATAGATAAGTTTTTTTTATATATGTAGATAAGAAAGAAATCGTTTTTAAAAATTCGAGATACAAATTTATAAATGGATGGTATTCTTAGAATGGTTTCCGGATAGTGAATTCATCTTTTAAAAATAGATCCGAACGATAAGAAAATAACAGTTCAATATAACACAGACGTTGAATCGAGAAGGAAGTTCAAGTCATACAAAATAAAAGGTGAAATACTTTAAGAAAGAATTCACTAGGAATAAATAGAGCTGGACAGCATCTTTTTTCTTTCTTTTCTTTTTATCATTCGTAGAAAAGAGAAGTTTAACTTTTTTTCACTATTTATATTGAATTACAAACTTTTTGATAGTGAAGAATGAGTCGGGAGAATGGTGTATTTTACCAAAACTACAGTAATATTGAGCAATAAAAACGATAGCAAAAAACCCTTCATTTATTTACTTTCGATCTAAAGTAAAAATATAAAAAAAACAATAAGTTTTGTTGGGAAAAAAATACAAAAAAATAAGAAATTTTAGTACAAAAACATCACTAATAAAGTAAAGCATTTTATTTTACAAATGCCAAATAAGATTGAATGAATTCTTATATATTTTTTTTAAAATTAATATCATAAAAGATCGACTATGAATACAAATGATGAATATCAATCGATAAAATGAATTTTGATGGAATGATTAAATTTATTCTAATAGCAAATCGAATATAGTTTGAGAGTCATTCAATTTGTATTATGATTGACATTACTCTATTAATATTAACTAAATTTTTTGCTGTTTAAGACACTCAGTTACCAATAATAATCATATAAATAATAGGATAAGTTAGTTATTCAATTTTCCTTTTTGATTGACGTATCAAATATTGTGTAATGTCTGAATCGATGTCTTAACCTCCATCTTGATAAGTAAGCGATGGCGTCGCGTCGCGTTGTGTCGCGTACTGTTTATTTGCAAAATTATAACGATTTTCTTCTGTAAATTAGTAAGAAATTAAAAAATAAAACTAATATTTTCTTATTTTAATAATTTAATGTAGAAAATATATTTAAAAAGTTAATATTTACGGTATTTAATTGTATTTAGCGCGCGACGCGATCGTTTAGATAATAAAAAGCGATCGAAAACTAAGCGAAGTTTCTACAAAAATAAAGGTATTTTAGTAATCTGTTTATTCATATACAAATTTAATAAAACGTCGAGATATATCGCACATGTAATTAACTTAGAAGTTATGATATGCATAAAATATGAAAGTTGAAAATTATATTATTATCTGTCATTTCCTCAACGTATATTATCGTAAACAGAAAATATAAACTAAAGATTTCGACAGAATATAACATAAAAAGTATATAAATAATTAAATATTTTCTAATAAAAATGTAGACGACAGTTAATTTATCAACAGTAATGCGTGTTATTAGCGACGCGACTCGACGCGTCGCGACGTGCACTTAAGTTAAAAATCATCAAAAATTTAGGTAATTTTTAACAAAAGGAATAAATTTATAATATTATTTTAAAATGGCTTACATTTGACTCATTAATAATAGCAATATTTATTGTAAATTAAGCTAGAAAACCTTGAAAAATGACGAATTTTAATGACCAGAAATTCGATTTAAATGACAAAAATCATATCAAAATATTACAAAATTAACAAAATTTTCAAAATAAATTATTTGGAGATACGTTTGAATACGTCATAGTAACGTCGTCAAGTGAAGTGTGACGTGTCGATGACTTTTCTTCCAAATTATTAATGGATATATTTATAACTTGGAGGTAAAATTAACTTCTCGCGTGTATTATGTTAAGAAAATGTCTTACATGTCCATTGTCTTCGGGATAAGTTGTTCCCTCTGGTACACGTTGCTTCATTACTATCCTACCAGCCGGAGGGGGTATAGATCTTGGAGGTGGTGCTCTCCACATTGTCGTGACTTTACCAGGACCTTGGACAAGACTTCTTCCAGCTGGTGAGGTAGGAACTGGATACCTCCGACCCCGTGTTGTCGACGGTCGAAGACGAACCGTTAAGCTCGTGGAACCAGTTGGGGGCGGAAGTGGGGGTGGGGAACCGAATGTTTCAGCTTTTGGTCCAGAACGTTCTCCATTCAACAATGCCAATTCGCGTAGTTGGTCTTGGCGTATATCGTCGTAGTAGTCCTTTAAAACCGTGATTTTATAAATAAATACAAGAACTACGATTTCGAAAACTCGAGTTTTAAAATGGTACGTACCGGTACCAGGAACCTCTTGACTTCACTCAATGCGTGTGCCATACGTGAATATGCTTCCGATGCTGGAGCGAAAGCTGTGATTTCCACGTGTAATTCCTCATTTAAATGAGAATATTTTGGATCTCCGTTGCCTCGTAATTCTTCTTCCTGTATTTTAAAATTAGAATTTAAATCGAATCTATTATAAAAATAATTAGTAGGCATTAATTATACGTAGGCATTCTTCCAAATTAAATTAATCAAACAAAATTGCGGTTTGACATAAGCTTTCTAGCTTATGTCCAACCGCAATTTTCTCTTTTTATTTTTTATTTTTTTTGTCTTATTATTGACAAATTTTTTTAATAATGAAAGTCTCGAAAGTAGAATTTTCAATACTTTTCCATTGCTTACAAAAACATATATTGTGGTTGACGGTTATATTGAAAACGATTCTGGAAAAGTTTGATGAAAAACATGAGAAAGTAAAGAATTTATACAAAAATTTATATGAAAAAATNTGATTTCCACGTGTAATTCCTCATTTAAATGAGAATATTTTGGATCTCCGTTGCCTCGTAATTCTTCTTCCTGTATTTTAAAATTAGAATTTAAATCGATAATTTATATTTTAAGTATAAAATGAATAGATTTTATTTAAATTTTTCTTTATATTTATAATGTTTTAAAGCTTAATACATTAACAACAAATCAATGCTTTCACTTCTGTACGATGTTACTCTAGTTAATATAACTAATTACGTTTAACTTGTCGTTCGATAACTTTCTTAACTACGTAACATCTTCAAAGTTATTTTAATATTTAATGTACAATATTTTCGATGCTTAAATTAATGTAAACATGAATTTCTTTGTTGTAAATTCGTTAAAAATGGGAAATTTATTTATATCGATTATAATATTTTATAAGGTTTACAAGGTTTAATTATTTATTGATTGCTTTCTTTGACAATCGAAATTGTAAGTGTAATGAGGCATTTAGTAAGGTCGATCGATTGTAATCACTTTAAGAAGTTTAGATCAATCACAAGTGATATGCTCAATTTGTAGTGCTTATGTTGTTCTCGAAAAGTTTCTTCATTTCAGAAATTTTTTATATAAAAAATACATTATATAATGTAAAATAAATTCATCTATTACTTTAAAAATATATTAAAGATGCTCTTTAAAGTAATATAATCACCATACCTTCGCCTTATCCCTCATAGATCCTCTTCCTAGTATAGCCATTCTTGTTTGTGTTTCTTCTTGTAACCTCTTGAGAGAGTTACCTTTTGGTCCCAAAAGTTTGCCGACAAAATTGAACTAAAGAAAAGAAAGACCAGATAAGGAACAAATGCGAGTAAAATCCTCAAGAGACAATATCTAGTCCATCTACAGAAACCAGATTTAGAAAGACTTGGAGACAAGCCGGATTTGACTTCAACATACGGATTATTTTCTAAAAGTTTTAGAATTATTCTTGCCCGGATTAAGTATACAATATCTACTTTGTTATTTTCTATATATAATAAAATGTTTTTCGTATATTTAATTTCGATCGAATTTAGATAGATGCTATTGAAAGATCCATCCATCGACTTCGTTCCAGTCAACATTCTCCCTCCCTTCTTTTCGTGTATCTTCTAACAAAGAACATACAAACAGTGAATTACTTCGTTGAAAGGTGTCTATTGATTCTTTTTCGATGTATCCCCTGCCAATTTTTTATAGTAATTTCGACAAATGGTTGCTAATTTTAACAACGGTCATATATTTCAGCAGAAAGCAATCGAATAAAAAGCCGAACAACTCGAAAATATCGCTGATTTATAAGAGAAAATAAGAANGTAAGATAGTGGCAAAACACTATCCAACATTGCCAATTACTGCTGACACGTTTCGCTTCCGTCCAACATGAACAGTAACAATCGGATTTACAGCACAGACCCAAAAACTACAGACTCTAATAGCATATCAAGCAGAGAGGGATTAAATTTTGCAATTTTCTAACAACAAAAAAAAAAAAGGCATTTAATCCTCACTTCACAGGGTAGTAGGTTAAAGTTCTCTGAGTAGAATTTTAATATTATGAATTGGAAAAAGTGGAATGAATCTTGAAAATAATGAGAGAATAAAGAATCGTCAGCTATTATAACACAATCGGAAGCTATAAGATATTTTAGGAGGCCCTAAAACTTTTCTTGTAAGATGAAATTTGTATTTGATGAGAGACTTGATGGAGATCAAAAGCAGAATTACTACTTCATAGAACTTTTGCCATTATTCATCACGTCTATCGAAATGTCTTGAAACTGAGATAAATATCAAGAGGACATGTTTGAAGATTGCACTGAAAAATGGCCGAAAAATTCTCTTAAATCTTCTCAAATCTATACTTCTTCACTCCCCCTATTCACTTTAATGGATATAAAAATTTTTGTGAAATTCATCTTTCTGTTCCTTTCTCTCTTCTACATCTTATACACTTATTTTATATTCATTGTAAACATACACCTTATTACAATTTACAATAAATCTATACAGTTAAACAGTTCAGAATTACAATTCAATAATCTAGGCTGTGTAAATAGACAGTAAATTAAAAAAAAAAAAAAATTAGATAAATAAACAGTCAAGTTTTTCGTAGATTTCAATTCTCAAATCCTTATTCTTTATCAACTTTCAGTCCAGCTTTTTCCTCTATAAGATTTATAATCTAGTTTTTACTTATAGAGATTTACGATCCCGTTTTGCCTTTACAAATTTATAACTGGTTTCTTGTATATTTAACCCATAAACTTCACGATATCACTTTTTACTGTATAAATATACAATCCAATTTTTTTCCTAAATATATTTACAGTTCAATATATTTTATATATTGATTTACTATTCAATTTTTTTTTTATCTGTATAGATTTGTGGCCCGATTTTTTCCTGTACAAATTTACAGTCCAACAATTTAAAATCCAGTTTGTTCCAACACATATGCACAGTTTAAAATTTTCCTGTATAGATTTACAGTGTTTATTAACTCCTTCACAGACTTACATTATCAGCTTACCATTAATAAGATAATAAAATAAATAAATAAATAAAAGAAAAAGAATTACTCTTAAAATTTTACTAATCGAACTAAAGTAAGAAGTTAGGAATTCAATATACCGAGAAAGAAAATTTTTGTAAGATAATTGCATTTGGTGGGGTCGGTTTTATTACATACAAGACCCTTGTAATGTTTTAAAGCTGGAAGTTATAAGGTTTGGAGTTTCAGAAATAACTAGTGGTTTTATTGGCTTCCTTTCCTATTTTTCTACTTTAAAGGTAATTTGTTGAGTGCTTGGTAAAAATTGAAAGTTGTTATTTTCAAACCCCAGATACAACTTTCAATATCAATTCGACTATTACGTTACATATATTTTATCACAACGGTGAATAATTTATGTTAAAAAATATACTGTACTTTACAGTAATATACCTTCAAAATTTATAAATATTTTATATCAAATCTTATTAAAAAATATTCAACTTTTCGGTGGTAAATTTTCAAATAATTTCTTAAGTTATGTAGATAACGAATGTATTACGTTGCGGGAGGTATCATCGTTTGTGACGTCACTCGTTTCCGGTTTGATATCATATTTTACATTAGTTAATGATACCATTTCGGTATTTAAATTAGCCTACTTTCATCATTTAATTACTGGTTGGTAAATTGTGTGATGCTGCGCTAATTTCAATCGTTAAAAATTTCAAAATAATCTTTTAATTAATAGAAATTAAGGTTTTAATTGTGTATTATATTTATAAAATATTCATTCGAGTAATTTTCTATATTAATAATTATTAAAATTTACTCGGATGGATTCAAGTTAGTAAAGGAGGGTCATGGACACGTTCTAGACTAACATCGTGGTCTTTCTAATCCAAGGTCAGCGCCGCGTCGCGTCGCAAAGCGCTCTTAGAAAACCAAAATAGTATCATTTACAGCAATACTTGTTAAGTGGAAATAAATGAAATATTTAGAATAATTCGAACAGATTTAATTTCTAAATCTATTAATTAATTTCGAAGATAAGAGAATTAATAATTTAATTTCTCCGGTTCTTCTCATTCTTCTCTTAAATCCAGAAGATGCTAAAATAATCAAATTCAATCATTGGTATTATTGTAGCTTCCGTTGCATTAGCAAATTGTTGAAGGCCCCATAATCACTGATAACTAGAATAGTTTTCATGCATTTCGCTTGATCATTCAGGTTAGTGCCCCAGGGAATGTAGCCAATTAGTTTAGGTTAAGCATCTTACAAAAAATAGTTTAAAATTTAATAAATTTTACTTTTTATAACTTACATTTGGATGATCTTTAACAGGGACCAAAACTCGAACCAAAAGTTTGAGTGGTTTGCCTTTGTGGATATCAAGAAGCGGTGGTTTAACGAGGGAATCTTTTGATCCACTTTGATGTCTTTGAATTTCTAAAAATAATAAAAAAAACATACAAAATTACTTTACGGCATTGTTCTTTCATGCATTTACATTATAAAGTGATAATATAAAGAAGAAGAACAAAAAAAAAAACACTATTTAAAAGCTCGCACTTTAAGATCTTACGCGAAAGATCATGGACAATAAATCGCAATTTACGTATATTATTATACGTATTTTTAGCTTTTTTTTAAGGGATAAATGTATATTTTTTAGGATATAAAAATTAATTTATTAGGATAGAATTTAATTTACTTTCTTAGATTTTTTTTCAGAATTTATTTAAATGTAGAATGCCGATCTCAGAAAACAATTTCCTTATCTAACCGAGCTCTTTACTGTTTAAACATACTAAACAAATATCATTCTAGCTGACTCGAAAATGAAGATAAATCTTACCTTAGTATATATATATATATATCNTTTTAATATTTAATGTACAATATTTTCGATGCTTAAATTAATGTAAACATGAATTTCTTTGTTGTAAATTCGTTAAAAATGGGAAATTTATTTATATCGATTATAATATTTTATAAGGTTTACAAGGTTTAATTATTTATTGATTGCTTTCTTTGACAATCGAAATTGTAAGTGTAATGAGGCATTTAGTAAGGTCGATCGATTGTAATCACTTTAAGAAGTTTAGATCAATCACAAGTGATATGCTCAATTTGTAGTGCTTATGTTGTTCTCGAAAAGTTTCTTCATTTCAGAAATTTTTTATATAAAAAATACTTTATATAATGTAAAATAAATTCATCTATTACTTTAAAAATATATTAAAGATGCTCTTTAAAGTAATATAATCACCATACCTTCGCCTTATCCCTCATAGATCCTCTTCCTAGTATAGCCATTCTTGTTTGTGTTTCTTCTTGTAACCTCTTGAGAGAGTTACCTTTTGGTCCCAAAAGTTTGCCGACAAAATTGAACTAAAGAAAAGAAAGACCAGATAAGGAACAAATGCGAGTAAAATCCTCAAGAGACAATATCTAGTCCATCTACAGAAACCAGATTTAGAAAGACTTGGAGACAAGCCGGATTTGACTTCAACATACGGATTATTTTCTAAAAGTTTTAGAATTATTCTTGCCCGGATTAAGTATACAATATCTACTTTGTTATTTTCTATATATAATAAAATGTTTTTCGTATATTTAATTTCGATCGAATTTAGATAGATGCTATTGAAAGATCCATCCATCGACTTCGTTCCAGTCAACATTCTCCCTCCCTTCTTTTCGTGTATCTTCTAACAAAGAACATACAAACAGTGAATTACTTCGTTGAAAGGTGTCTATTGATTCTTTTTCGATGTATCCCCTGCCAATTTTTTATAGTAATTTCGACAAATGGTTGCTAATTTTAACAACGGTCATATATTTCAGCAGAAAGCAATCGAATAAAAAGCCGAACAACTCGAAAATATCGCTGATTTATAAGAGAAAATAAGAATAAAATTTCAAAATATTTATGATTATTCGTTCGAGTATATGTTATACAAGTATAAATAATGATTATTTTATTAAATATAATCATATTAAATACCAATACGTGCTTTTTTATCGGTCATATAAATCAAGTGATAAATTCTCGTTTCTAGAAGATGATAGTCGCCAAAAATTTTGTTTTCGTTTTAAATCACGTTTAAGCTTTCTAATAAAATTTTACGTTCAAACAATTTTTATTATATATTTCTACATATAAAATATAAAAAAAAAAGAATAAATAATATAAATAATGTTTTTATTTCATATTTTCTAGAAAGAAAATCCTTTTTAACGATAACGATTTTTTCTAATGTTTCCTTAAGATCACAAACATAAAAATTATATTAAAAAAATAGTTTAAAATTTAATAAATTTTACTTTTTATAACTTACATTTGGATGATCTTTAACAGGGACCAAAACTCGAACCAAAAGTTTGAGTGGTTTGCCTTTGTGGATATCAAGAAGCGGTGGTTTAACGAGGGAATCTTTTGATCCACTTTGATGTCTTTGAATTTCTAAAAATAATAAAAAAAACATACAAAATTACTTTACGGCATTGTTCTTTCATGCATTTACATTATAAAGTGATAATATAAAGAAGAAGAACAAAAAAAAAAACACTATTTAAAAGCTCGCACTTTAAGATCTTACGCGAAAGATCATGGACAATAAATCGCAATTTACGTATATTATTATACGTATTTTTAGCTTTTTTTTAAGGGATAAATGTATATTTTTTAGGATATAAAAATTAATTTATTAGGATAGAATTTAATTTACTTTCTTAGATTTTTTTTCAGAATTTATTTAAATGTAGAATGCCGATCTCAGAAAACAATTTCCTTATCTAACCGAGCTCTTTACTGTTTAAACATACTAAACAAATATCATTCTAGCTGACTCGAAAATGAAGATAAATCTTACCTTAGTATATATATATATATATCTCTAAAGTCAATTTTGCATTCTTAATGTGATGATTTTCTTAGTATAAATAACAATAAAAGCATACCTCCAGGAAATTATATCAAATGCAAAATCAACATTTATGTTTAAATTTTATTATTTTACTGTCTGGAAATTATTGTTTAACGAAAGAATATACTTTATTCTTGTTAAATATATCAATATATTATTATATTTTTAATTAATTTACAGTAAAAAATGCGTTTTCTTTGCATAACATGCAAGTAGTTAAAATGTATAAAAGTAACTTGTTAATTGGTTTAAATGTGTTTAAAAATAAGAAAAAAAGCGTAGAAAATTAAAGAAAAAATACATTATCACGACATTTTATCAAAATAAAAAAAAATAAGTTATTTTCTTAAGGGGTAAAAAAAAAGAAAAGTTAAGATCTTATCTTCTTAACAGTTAGATCGCAATGTACAGTACGCGCATATGTCGCATCTCGCGGCGCGATGACTAACGTTAACAATATATTTTTTCCCTTTTATTATTCATTGAAAGCATTAAAACTTGGTGAAAAATTTTCTAAAGTTTACGAAAAAATAATATTTACATTAAAAAATATACTATAAATAAATCGAAATAAAGATTTAAAATAATTATTATAAATCTAAGCGCCACGGATGCGACGCGACGTGATCAGGTAACGAAGTAGTTTAATTTACAAAAATTCATATTGTAGTTATATATAACAGACTAATTGTGTTTGAGATCATATTAAATAAATCATGTTTCTTGCAATATATAAATTATTATTATCTAGAAGTATATTTTCGAAGAATTTTGTTATCTTAGTTGCACTTAATAATATCTTATAGTAGCATTTTAAGAATGAATGAGTGGTTCGTGAATCTTAGAAACAGGGAGATTAGATCTTGCATTCTTTACAATGGACACTAAAGTGCTTCTACATTTGATACTGTGGGAATCTGTACTCATACAAATAAGAATTCCAGAAAAGGGATATCTAGTTATCGTATTTCCACAAGACAAACAGACTAACTTCTTAGAGTTTGGGCGAGTATTGCTGACTTTATTTCTGATCTGATTATTTCTTATCAAAATAAGGAAATTATATTTCCTTTCCAACCAATATCATATATTATTCATCGATATTTTCTCGTGTTTTCTCCTATACAATCTCTTATTACTATAACCGAAGTGTCAACATTCTCCCTCCCTTCTTTTCGTGTATCTTCTAACAAAGAACATACAAACAGTGAATTACTTCGTTGAAAGGTGTCTATTGATTCTTTTTCGANATGTCATGTTTTTTCTTCATATATAAATACTTGAAAGTGTGTGTGACCTGTATGTAAATTTCTCCGTGTTAAATATTATTGTGTATTGTGTCATGTTAAAGGCATGCTGTGTTACTGTTATAGAATTTTTAAATATCTTAAACTATTCACTTTCTACTTTTGGATCTTCTAAAAATCTGTGTTACATAAAGTAAAAAAATAAAGTGTTCATACTAAAACTACGTTTTTATATTTTTTTCCATCGTTTCTTGGGATAAAATCCTGTATTTTTCCATAGTTTAGGCGCATAATTTGCCAGATATATGCCCATATTTTTTTAGTCAGAAAATGTATTAGTTTACTTGAAGACTAGAGGCTTATACACGAATATATTTATACCTACAGCTTACATAATACATAATATGCATACCAAGGTATACACGTAAACGTTGAAATCATACTCAAAATACCTGAAATATGTTGAAAAAGCATATGTTGTAAACGTACCAATAGCTTGCAGATAACACATACTTATATATATATATATATATATATTTATTTATTTTTTTTTTAATGCATACATGCACTGATGTGTGCTCATGAGGTACAGTATAGTACATAAAACAGAAGCACACATGTATGTATATTCTACAGTATAAATAAATATATATAGCTACATGAATAATGAAATACATACATACATACTGTACACACTAGGTTCTACATATGTATGTATTATAGCATACATATGTATGTATTATAGCATGATATGTAAACTATGTGCAGAAATACTGATATGTAAACACAGTATGTGTATAGATATATAGATATAAATGTATAAAAACACATACCAAGTATGTAAATATGAAAATATACGCACACAGACACAGAAACTACTTTTAAAATGTTACATTTCATTCAAATCTTGACTTATTTTCAAGTAGAAATACTTTTACTCGCTTAAAGATAAATGCAAAATTAAATTAAAAATCAAGAAATTTACCTTAAATTAGAAGAAAATATATATAGCCCATAATAATAATATTTTAAATTAAACATAATACAATTTAAAACATATTAAACTCTATATAATGTGAATTTTTATTATTTCTTTTAGCAATTTAAACGAGTAAAATGTTTTAAAATGTTCAATTCATCTGTAGATTCCTCTTAGATCTGTAGACTCTTAATATCTGTAATGGCAAATATATACTATAAAAATTGAAACTTAAAACATTAGATTAAAAAGTAAAGTAGTTTAAAAACAATAATTGCTTTCTGCCCGAGGCATTAATGCTAGATCAGCAATTCCATCAGAAGTAGAGAGTTGTCAACTTAATGACATTTTCTTCTTTTTTACTTTAGTGATTCTGTGCCAAATAATCAACTGTAGTTGAATTAACTAATAACGATGTATTCGGATGGATTCAAGTTAGTAAAGGAGGGTCATGGACACGTTCTAGACTAACATCGTGGTCTTTCTAATCCAAGGTCAGCTACATACGTGACGATAAAGTCACGACTTTACCAACAATTGGCAGACGTGACTTTGAAATAATGAACAAATACTGAGGTTTGCTATCAGATTTTTCAGGTAGAAATTTATGAGAAATTGTATTTTTCCCTTTTTCTTATTTCTAGATCTGATCTCTCCTTTATAATATTTCTTTCTTTAGAATTTGTGGTAAATTTAGTATTTTTAAAATACTTAGAAATGCGGTTACGTAATGAATGAAAAGATGAAGATAATATCGTTTAAATTTTTTATTTTTTTAATTTTTACGAAAAATTCTATTAAATTTGTAAATTTATTTATCGAACAATTATATATGATGATTGTATTTACAAACAAAACCGGAAGTCGTGGGTTCAGTTCCTACACACTTTCAAACACTCATCTTGTTTCTGTTTAGTTTCTTCTGGAAGGAAGATTTATGTGAAGTTTTCTTGCCCTGTTACTTTAAAAATAATCTCACATTAAAGTAAAAATGACAATCAAAATGAGTAAAAAGATATTTTACTAAAGTTATTTTCTTTCTTTTTATAGTTTCCAAAGATAACAAACAAGACCTATTTTTCAAAATATAAAATTGTACGCTACCCTTTACAAGATATATCAATAATGTTGATTTATATTTTTTTCTTTCTAAACCCATTCCTTTCAATTTTCAATTTAGTTCTCATTCCAATTCCATTTGCTTCATCTCTATCATGACTTTATTATAAGGGACAACGAAGAAGTAAATAATCATAGTGTTTTTCTAGAGTAAGATAGTGGCAAAACACTATCCAACATTGCCAATTACTGCTGACACGTTTCGCTTCCGTCCAACATGAACAGTAACAATCGGATTTACAGCACAGACCCAAAAACTACAGACTCTAATAGCATATCAAGCAGAGAGGGATTAAATTTTGCAATTTTCTAACAACAAAAAAAAAAAAGGCATTTAATCCTCACTTCACAGGGTAGTAGGTTAAAGTTCTCTGAGTAGAATTTTAATATTATGAATTGGAAAAAGTGGAATGAATCTTGAAAATAATGAGAGAATAAAGAATCGTCAGCTATTATAACACAATCGGAAGCTATAAGATATTTTAGGAGGCCCTAAAACTTTTCTTGTAAGATGAAATTTGTATTTGATGAGAGACTTGATGGAGATCAAAAGCAGAATTACTACTTCATAGAACTTTTGCCATTATTCATCACGTCTATCGAAATGTCTTGAAACTGAGATAAATATCAAGAGGACATGTTTGAAGATTGCACTGAAAAATGGCCGAAAAATTCTCTTAAATCTTCTCAAATCTATACTTCTTCACTCCCCCTATTCACTTTAATGGATATAAAAATTTTTGTGAAATTCATCTTTCTGTTCCTTTCTCTCTTCTACATCTTATACACTTATTTTATATTCATTGTAAACATACACCTTATTACAATTTACAATAAATCTATACAGTTAAACAGTTCAGAATTACAATTCAATAATCTAGGCTGTGTAAATAGACAGTAAATTAAAAAAAAAAAAAAATTAGATAAATAAACAGTCAAGTTTTTCGTAGATTTCAATTCTCAAATCCTTATTCTTTATCAACTTTCAGTCCAGCTTTTTCCTCTATAAGATTTATAATCTAGTTTTTACTTATAGAGATTTACGATCCCGTTTTGCCTTTACAAATTTATAACTGGTTTCTTGTATATTTAACCCATAAACTTCACGATATCACTTTTTACTGTATAAATATACAATCCAATTTTTTTCCTAAATATATTTACAGTTCAATATATTTTATATATTGATTTACTA